ACTTACCGCACACACTTTATGCCAGGATCAGACATAAAATCAGTTGCCCTTCTGTAATTAATTAGGAAAAAAACCTGAGTGGTAGCGCTTGTCAATGGTAATCATTCTTTGGCATGACAACTGTTGACTGTTTTTTCTAAGAGCTGCATAAAATTAAGCTGAGAGCTATTAATTTCTTATTTTTTTTTAACTCTCCAACATCTCCCAGTACCAATTTACCAACAAGGACGTCATTCAAATCGAACCATTACCTACCTATGCATCTAACAGAAATGCTAGGCGTCAATAAGCGAGCACAACAACAATCGTACAGTGCCGCATGTCCTAAACCGATTATAACCAAGCAAATGAGTAAGAGTAAGTGGCAGTTCAGTATGCCCACCTAATACGAACCAGAGAACTAGTTACTGCATTACTTCAGCAGGGCCCCAAATCCCTTTGGCAAGAAATTTTTAAGCTAAAGCACTAGAAGCAAACAGTTCAGCAATAAAGTATAAAAATAATTAGAGAGAGAGAGAGAGAGGGAGACAATCTGACAAACATACCTTCGATTCTCGCTAATCAGATCTTCGCCTTCAACCGCCGCACTTTCCAGGCTGGCCTATAAATGCAAAATTTTCAAAAATTACGCAGCATTAGGAACTTCGAACTTCCAGCAGACAAACCTCAATTCAGATACTTTTTTACATGTTCGACGAACAAGATATTTACCTTTACTACACAGAAATACTCGACGTGGAAGATTCAAAATAAAAATTCAGCTAAATGCATCAGCTTCCTTTTTATGCGTTTTTTGCAGCAATGCAATGCGAAAAACGCATACTGACGAGAGGTTGTCTGTGTGTCCGTGTGTCTATGTGTCTGTGTGTGCGTCTGTCACGCACTTTCAAGGATCTATAAAAGCTGCGGGGCTGAAATTTCTGGAACCTAATCTACATGCACGTACCGCCCCCAATCCCTAAAATGGGCGCCAAAACCTGCGTGGTACCCGCGTACGGGCCCCCCAAAGTTTTTTCGGGGTCAGCTCATAACTCGAGGATCTGAG